GTTTTCTTTTATGGTATAATGCCTAGCATACCAAACACTCACAGCCCCCATGCCCAGGAGTAGTCAGCCAACACAAACTGGACTTAAAGAAAAAAGAAAAAGAAACATGAAGCTGGGTGAGGAAGAAAATGAAGAGCTGGAAAGTTAGGGAAGTGGAATACAATCAAAATAAATCATAGAAAATTCTCAAATATAGGAATTATTTTGTAAAAACATCGGTTAAAAACTTTATCTGGACATGCCGCCCGGGGTAATTTGCCCTGGGCAGGCAGGAAGAAATTAAGGGCCTGCTCAGCGCCTCTAGGACCAAGCAGGAGATGGACTCCATACACCACTCAGGGAAGAAGCTGAGGGTCCACCCTGTGCCTTGCAGTATGTGCGGCTGAGCGCCATTATGGTGAACAAATGTACGGAAGGTATGGAAGGCAGAGACAGAGAGGTGAAGTCTTGTGGAGACAGGCGGACTGTAGAGACAAAGATGGTGAGGAATGGGCTGATATGAAGACCTGCTTACCATCTGGGGCCACTGTGAAGTCTAATCCTCGGCTGCTGCCAAGGGCCATGTTTGGGTCCACCATCCTGCTACAGTCACCATGTACTGATGTCCATGATCCTGTCACCACTAAAGGCCAAGAGGATGCCCGGGGTCTGGGCTGCTACATGTGGCCACACTGGTGCCCTAATGGCCATGCCACCACAGGGGCCATCCCAATCTGAGGGGCCTGGGCCTGAGCTATGGCCAAGGGCCATGTCTGGGCCCTTGGCCCTCCACTGCCAGGGTCTATGTTGATATCCAAGGCACCTGTTTCCATCGAGGTTTGGGGGTGGCCCAGGTTTGGGCTCCTAGTTGGGGCTACACTGGTGTCTGAGGGCCATCTGCAGCTGGGATGATATTGATCTGAGTGGCCTGCACTGCCACCAGGGGCCATGATGGCATCCGAACCCAGGCTGCTGAGGACCATGACTGATCTATAAATCCTACTGCAGCCGGGTCTGTGGTGATGTTCATGGCCTGTGTCACCACCAAAGGCCACAACAATGTCTGGGCTTTGGGTCACCACCTGTGACCATGTTGGGGTCCGAGGAACGTGTAGCTGCTGGGGCCATGCCAACCCAAGTGCCATGTGCTGCTACCATGATCATGGAGTAGGCCAGCCCATGCTGCTGCGGGGGCCATGTCTAGGCCCTTGGCCCCTATCATCAGGGCCATGAAGATCAGGGTGTGTTTGGGTCTGTTTTGAAGTATGTGGCGCCTGTTGCCATGAGGGGCAGTGCAACTGCTTGGGGTCTCTATCACCACCTAGGACCATGTTGGAGTCTGACAACCATGCTGCTGCTAGGCCCATGCCTATCTGAGAGGCACACACTGCCACCGGGGTCCATGGTGACATCTAGGCCCAAGCTGCTGCTGTTGGCCATGTCTGGGTCCATGGTCCCAACATGACTGTGGTCTGTGTTGATGTCACTTCTCTGTCAATGTCAACTGCCCATGCCCCCACAGGGGCCCATGTGAACCATGGATTGAAACACGAGCTGAAGTACAAGGGTCTGCTAAGCTGGCCCCACTACTCACTGGCCATGGACTACCCACCCCTCGCCAGCCCTGCAAGAACAGATCCTGACCACCCTGGCAGGGGAATGCTCAGCCCCACCCCTAATAAGAGAGTTGTCCATCCATATTTGGGAAAGATGGCCCCAGTCCTCCCCAAGGGGAGTGGTCTGAGCTGCCCACAGTGACCAACTCATCAGCACCCTGTACACATCCAGGGCTTTGAGCTGACACACCTCAACTCCATCCACGACCTGCTAGAGTATGTGAAGAGACTGGTCCTCAGAGCTACAGCCAATTGTCTACAAGATTCAGAGCAACAACGGGGTGTCTGGGGAGTGTCTGTGGAGGTCAGCCAGAGGCCTAGAGCCTGACTGGCAACCCATTACACAAAGAGCATTTGCAAGGCAAGCTGTCTGAACAAAAGGGCGTGCTGCATGGAACACTGCAGCTCGCAGGGGCACTAAGACAAAGGAGAGAGTCAGCAAAGACAGGGCAGCAGAGCTGCTTCTTAGGAAAGGTGAACGAGACTGGCAAAGCTGCACTGGCAAGGGGGCAGCGGCAAATAAAAGTGAAAAACAAGGTTACGTTTCAACTGAGTCTACAGAAATCAAAAGGCTGTTAGAAATAATTTCTAAATGAATAGTGTATGTGAACATACTGGAGAATCTAAAAGAAATGAACACATTTCTGGACACATATGACCTAGCCAAGTTGAACCAAAAGTCCATTGGAATAGACCTACAACAATGACACTGAATTGGTAATTTAAAAAACAAAACAACCCCCTATGAAGAACAGACTATGATCATATGACTGCATCACTCAATTTTACCTGAAAGTTCTCACTTTTAAGTAAGAACTACCACCAGGCTTCTCAAGCTTGGCTGTATTATTAAAAGAAGGGTGATCTGTGACCTTCTTACCAAAACTTGAAAACGATATAAAATGAAATCTAGTAATTCACTTTCCTGGTAAACAGACTGAAAAAAACCCTTAAAATAACGGTAACTGAAGGTAACAATGTTGTAAAAAGCTCAAGTAATATTGTCAAGTTAACCAATTTCATTATAGGAATTTAAAAATTGTATGATATACACAAACCAGTTAAATATACCTAGTTACTCAAATAGAATGATTCTAAGAGATGAAGAAACAGCATTTGATAATTTCCAACATCCCTTCATGATCAAGGCCCTTGCTTAGCTGGAAAGACCATACATAGCACAATAAAGACCTATGCATGTCAACTCACAGCCAACAACACATGGAAGGGGAGACAGCGGTTCCTGTTAACCCTGAACTAAGACAAGCTCATCCATTCTCATTGCCCGCCTTCATTACAGCACCGGAAACTTGACAGAGCAAGTGGGCACTACAATGAAACAGAAGCCAGACTGATAGGAAAGTCTTAACTACCCCAGGCCTAAGCAGGCAGGCTGATTCAATACACAGAAAAACCCAAGGACTCCACCAAAAGATTTTAGAACTGACAAATGTATTCAGCTACGTAGCTCATATAAAAATAAACACACAAAATCAGCTTTTCTATATAGTATAAAAATTTATTAGAAAATAGTAAAATTAACCCTATTCACACTAAGCCCACCCAAAAAAATAAACTACTCAGTGATAAACTTCATTAAGGATATGAAAGACTTCTACAATATAAAGCAAAACTCACTGAAAGAAAGCAAAGACTCCCAAAAAGGTACCCCAAGTTCACATTTAGAAGACCCAATACCATTACAGCGTCTATACTGCTAAAAGCAATCTACAGTGTGACATCCAAAAGACGAATAATACTCTTCATAGAATTAGAAAACAAACTCCTCAATCCATACAGCAGCACAAGAGACACAGAACAGCCGGAGCAATCCTTTAGAGGAGGAGCAAAGCGTGACAAAACACAATCTTCTACTTCAAGTCACACTGCAGAATACAAGGAAGCCCAATAGTACGACACTGTCATGAAAACAGACACACAGTCTGATGGGAAACAGAGAACCAGAAAATAAACTCAGGCATTACAACTAGCTTGTCCGAATGATCCTGACAAAACTGGATTTTAGATTTTAGTTACAAGACTGAACCTTGACAACTGCATGAAAACCAACTCAAAATGGATGAAAGACCTTAATGCCATACACAAAACTCTGACTCTACAAGCAAACGGGAGAAATATGTCAAGACTGAAATAAAGGATTTTTCTATACAGGACAACCAAAGCACAAGAAACAAAAGCAAAACACACTTAAAGCATTGTAAATGAAGTGAGATTACATAAAACTAAAATACTTCTGCCCACCAAAGAAAACAGTCAGGAGTTAAAGAAACAACATGGAAGACAGGAGAAATGTTTGCAAGTTGTTCACGTAACAGAGTTAATATCCAGAATATAAAACAAAAATCGAAAAGTAAGCCAATTCAAAATGGGCAAATGATCTGATTTCACACACCCCAAGAGAAGAAGCAGAAAGAGCCGATAAACACATGGGAAATGCTCACAAGGGAAATACAAGTCACAGTTTCAATGAGATATCTGCAATAGCTAATCTTCACTGTCAAACCTTGACAGGGTTTAGAATTAGCCTGGTAGACTGTGGGACACTACTGGGTGTGTCTATGAGATGTCTCCAAAGATTAACAAAGCTGAGAGCCCTGAAGAGAAGCAGAATCAGGACCAGGGCCCAGAGAGAGTAAGAGGAGAAAAGCAGAAATTTTGTTAGGTACCAGCATTTCTCCCTGCTCCTTGGCCCAGCAGGTTGCAAACTCTGTGCTCTGTGCCTCCCTGACAAGTAAAGCACGAGCCAAACAAAATCTTTCCTCCCTCAAGCTGTTTCTGCCCATTATTTTGTTATAGCAACAAGAAAATGACTCAACACTGAACGTCCAACAGTGGATAACAAGAAAAATTACATGCTGGAAAGATGTGAGGGCAAAGAACTCCTCCAAGCTCCTGCTGCCAATGTAAATGAACAGACACTATGGGAAGCAGGATGGAAATTCTTAAAAACATAAGGTAGTACTACCATACGATGATAACAACCCAATAGATTTATCAACACAGAAAAGAAATGCCTGTTCACCCACGTTTACACGACACTATTCACAACAGCTAAGACACAGAATGAATACACATGTCTGTCAATGGTGAGTAATGAGGGTTTGCATACACAGCACAATACTATGAAATAAACATATCCACAAAGAAATATGAATTCCTGCAACTGATAGCATGAAGAGAACTGGAGTGCATCATGTTAAAAGAAAGAAATCAGGCACTAAAAGAAAGACAGGTACAGGTTTTCTTCCACGTGGAAACTAAAATTCCTTTTTAAAAGTAACCTACAAGCAGAAGAGTGATTTCCTACGCAGTGGGAAGAGTGCTAGGTCAGGGTAGGAGCACACAGAGAGAGATACAGAAAGTGAGAAAAAATGATATACATACCATTAACTTCTGTCCCGGTTCAGGGGAGAAAATAACAAAATCTGCTTCGATGTTGAGATGAATATGTCCTTGGTCATCATAAATATCTCCCAGCTCACCCACAACTCTGATGTTATCATATGCAATAGGGACACCCAAAAGGCTGTTAAGGAAAAGAAAAGGTAGTCAGTCCTTTTTAAATCATGCTTTTTAATCACATGGAGTCAAGCAGTGGTGGTACAGAGGCAGGAGGATCTCTGAGTTCGAGGCCAGCCTGGTCTACATATTAAGTCTAGGACAGACAGAGTTGCACAGAGACACCCTGAGTCGAGAAAGAAAAAAAACAAAAACAAAGGATAATCACACTGACCAGCTCTGATATACCAGTCATTCCAAAAACATAATGGTATCATAGCATCATCTGGTCTTATAAGCTAACACTAGCAAATCTTAGCAATTTACACTTTACCAAAAAATCCCAGTGTCTTGGTTATGCTAAAATGTCTATAACATTGGTCTTCAGAACTATGCACGGGCAATAAACTGACACTTCCTTATATGCTATCTATGTGTACCAGTCATGCTAGGAGAAACAATGGGACTAGCGAAAACATGTATTTGTAGGTACTCTAGGAGTGAAGTGGGAAATTCTGGTACTATCGATCATTACTAAGGTTCTATGCCTGACAATTTATAACAAGGCAAGTAGTACTGTTTAAGTTACAGCCTCTGATCACTGCATAATGACTTAATACAGAAAAACACCAACCCAAAACCTTGTCTAGTGAAAAGAAACGTTATGTATACAACCATATCATTTAGGAACTGACCAACACTTTACTACTTATTATTCATCATTCATCTCCCACATCAATACTTCCTGAAGAAAACTTCCCTGACTCCCAAGAAAAATCACTACTCTACCACATGTAAAAATGTAGTACTATTCATAACCTAGTTCATTGGAAGGAGGATTTGAGATTTAAGACTTCTTTGGGACTACTAGGAGACAATGCATTTGATACCTTTAAATAACCCAAGGATGCCAAATGGAAATGAATGGGCTGTTTTATTTCACTCTCCCCACAACTGGCCTCTTACAGGTTCACCTTAAAAGTTACAGTGTGTTTCAAAAAACCACATACTTTCTAAGAGGACAGTCCACAGTTGAAACGGGATGCCTTCTTCTGAGAAAAGAAGGGTAAGCCTGTCAAGTGGGAAAAGCTGGTGAGACAATTTAAGCAACAGGAGTCTGGGAGGAGTCTCAAAAGCATACAGACTACTCATGCTGAGGACTGCCCACAAGTCTGAAAACACACTACACAGGGTAAATGGTTAATGTTTTGTCCCTTCCTTGCTTTATTAATACTCTTGATACCTTGTTAGCAACAAGGAAGGGAGGCACCCAGATAAACTTATGAGTATATTCTATTCTACACAGGTGCACTATCCAATTCTGTTACAGAAACTATCAGTTTATAAAAACCACTCCTATTACACATCTCTAGATATTTTTCCCCTAATGGGAATACTACATAACTGCCTGCCTTTCATATTTAATGATCACCTTGCATATTCTTAAATCTTTCAAACGTCTAATCATTTCTCTTAATTACTAAAAATGCTAATTGATCTGTCTACCACCTCGCCCTATTTAAATCTAATTTGAAACTGTTTCTGAAACTGCAGATTTGACCATGTCCCAGAGACTGCAGACATACACTACTCCTCTCAAGAGAGTACCACATCTCAGTTGGAGATTAATAAATGGAAAAAAACAACTGTACTGTATGAATCAAAAGCATACGACAGGCCGGGCGTTGGTAGCGCACGCCTTTAATCCCAGCACTCGGGAGGCAGAGGCAGGCGGATCTCTGTGAGTTCGAGGCCAGCCTGGTCTACAGAGCGAGTTCCAGGACAGCCTCCAAAACAATACAGAGAAACCCTGTCTCGAGAGAGAGAGAGAAAAAAAAAAGCATGGCGACAGGAGAGATGGTCCAGCAGTTAAGAGCACTTGATGCTCCCGCAAAGAACCCAGGTTCCATTCCTAGCACCCACTTAGTGGTTCACAAGCATCCATAATTGCTACTTCTGAGGGCTCCAGGCATGCACATGGTGCATATACAGACATGAAAACACACACACACATAAATCCAATACAAAACAGGCATGCACATGGTGCATATACAGACATGAAAACACACACACAAATCCAATACAAAACAGGCATACACATGGTGCATATACAGACATGAAAACACACACACACACACATAAATCCAATGCAAAACAAAAACAAAGTAAAGCAACAATGGACAGAGACAGAAGGAGCGAGGGAGGGAGAGATGGACAGACAGATGTACAGAAGACAGACAGACAATCAAAGGCAGAAGGGAAAGATAGTAATGACCATCTTCTGAGTCACCTCCCAGTCGTTGACACTCTGCTTAGGAACCAATGACATTCAGTGTGTCTCACCTGATGTAAGAAGCTTCAATGTAGTCACATATTACTAAGCTCTGGTCCAAGCATACTAACTTAAGTTTACTACCCATCTCTTTATGCCGCTCACCGGTTGGAATGCTACCACCCTACTGTGTTGTACTCAAAAGTTACAAGATCTGACTTCACTTCTCTCTATACAACTTAACTTGGGTCTGTCAGATTTTAACAGTTCTCTAGATCCGGCTTACATTTATATCCCCACAGTAGCTCGAAGCTCCTTGAAAATAGGATCTTCCTTTTATTTGTCTTTCTATCCAACTGCCTAGGACGTGCAGACATAAAGGTATGTACCGGTGCTTAGTCTAGACAGGCTTAACAGTAACGGGGTTGGCTGGGCCCAAATCCTCCAGGAGTGGGAACAGCTTTAGATGATCTGCCCAAGAGCAGTCAGCACAGAAACCCCTGCAAGTCTGAAGTTTCACAGAACTGATGGAGGGCAGCGGTGTCTCAGGGAATCCGTACGCCTCGGGCTTAGCACCTCACACCAAATAAGCTGTGCAGTATGAAGGCATTATCCCTTCCGCTTGAAATCCTGAGAGTCAATTCTGAGACTCCTTTTTTTCAAGTTGCTACTGAGTATCTTAACATAAACATGCTGACTTCACCTTGTTTGCCTGTGTCCAGAGAACTGTTCCTACAAACAAAACTAGGCAAAAGGTGGCGTTCACCCCGCGTCCCCAACGGGGCCCTAGAAAAGAAAACCTGGGCAAACAAGCTTAAGCAGACAACAAGCCCGCCCGCCCGCCCTATGTTTTGCGATGAAAAGGCTCGTTTATCGCTGTCCTCCAAGGGCGCGGAACGACTCTCGTACGGACAGCAAAGGCTCACCACGGGTGAGAGCACACCCGGAAGTGGCGGAAGGAAGCTTTTACGAAGCTCAGCGACCCCGGGCACCACCGCCCTCACCCACCCCGGCCTCCAGCACCGCTCTCCGCGCTCGCACCGCGGCGGGGCGGGGCCGCCACACCGCGGGCCCCCGAAGCTCGTGCAGCCGGGGACCCCGCGGCCACGGCCGCCTCCCGGGCCGAGCAGGGGCGGCGGGGACACCGTACCTCTCCGAGTAGCGCAGGAGCTCGGCGTCCAGCTGCTCGCGGATGCCCGTGCGCTTCCGGCTCAGGTAGCGCGGCGACAGGGCGACGTGCCTGCGGTGCGGGCCGGCCACCAGGCACGAGTAGCGGCTGCTCACCAGCGCGCAGGCCGCGGCGTAGCTCGGCAGCTCCAGGCAGGGCACAGCCCCGGCCTGACCCGCCGCGGGCCTCTCCGAGGCCGCCTGGGGCCGCAGCACCGCCGCGCAGCCAGCAGCCATGCGGCTCGCCGGGCTCTTCGGGGGGCGCGCGGCTGACGTCACACCCGCCTCCGACGCCCGGTGACGTCATCGACCAGCGACCGGCCCTGGCCGGGGCATTTTTCAGTTTTTAAATCTCCGAAGGCTGCGTTGCGCAGGTGTGACCAGCAGAGGGCAGCTGCTCGCTCCCAGATCCAGATAAAACATGGAGGCCGAGGTGCCCTCTGAGCCTGCAAATCCAGAGGCCGGTGTGGGAGGGTCCTCACTGCCAAGAACGCTGTTACGGGGAGAAGTTTGATTTTATTGACCTGGGCACTCGGACCCGAAAACTGCAGAGGCCCAATATAGTCTGATTTTTTAAAATCTCTTCGGTTGCTTTCAATGCTGGATCAAGGTCTAGTAAATTAGTATTTTCTTTTTGTGTGTTTTGGCTTTTTTTGCTTTCAGACAGTGTCTCTCCGTGTAGCTCTAACTGGCTTGAAACTCACTGCCTCGGGACAGCTGGGATAAAAGGCATGTGCCACTTTGCCCGGTTAAGGGTTTTCTTTATTGGATTTAGTACTAGTATTAATAGGAGTGCCCCTTCCCAGTTGCAATGTTGCTTGATAATTGTTTATAGTCTGAAGCAATGCTCCATTTGGACAGCACTGTCCAACAGCCCAAACTAAACTGTTCCCCTGGCTCCGTCTTCAGCAATGATCCCTAAGCCTTGGGTGTGGAATTGTACCGTAGATGTAGCAACTTAGACTAGAATCCACAACCCTACCATAACAGTTTTGTTATGGAACTCAGTACCACCAGCCCAGAGATGGCGCCACCCACAATGGGCTGGGCCCTCCCCTAGGGATCATTAATTGAGAAAATGATTTACAGATGTCGTGGAGGCATTTCCTTAGCTGAGGCTCCTTCCTTTTTGATGACCCAAAGTTGACACACAAAACCAACCAGTACAATATCCTTTCTTTTTTATTTCAAATTCATCACGGGATAAAAATGGGACCAAATTGCTCTCCAAATCCAATGATAGACGTTTCAAGTCCACAAACAAGAAATTCAGTGGCCTTTAGCTTTTACTACAAAGATCCTGATTTTAGCCAAAGTGTGAGTATTAGTGGTCTTGCCAATGTGGATCATAGGAGCCAAGATTTAGCATCAGGTGCCATGAGTACAGACCATAGTTCTGGCACTTTGGACAACTTGCTGTGTGATTTGGGGGTTCTAGCTTCTTAATCTTCGGTTGAGAGGTCCAGGATACCTTGTGCCCACATGATAATCACTGCGGGATCTGTTGGAAGCAGTCCTGTATATTGTATAAAAGCAGTCCTCAGTATCAAGAACCACATTGGGAAGCAGGCGTGGATAGCAGGCACAGGCCTGACAAGAGTCTATGATGTCATTCACTGGCATGGGAAACAGTCCTGAATACCATCCTGGACATGATGTGCCCACCTAGGAAAAAAGGCATAGAAATCTTATACCACAGATACCTCATACCTGGGGAATTGGTTCTGAATATCATGTACTTACATGGGAAGGAGTTCTAAACATATAGTACATGCAAGGGAAGCAGTCCTGCACATGTTTTACACACATGGGAGGCAGGCATGGATTTGTTGCTCGCCCATGGTAAGCAGTCCTCAGTATGTTGTACCCATATAAGAAACAGTCATGCATGGCATGTATTTACATGGGAACAAGTCCTGGGTATTATGTACCCACGTAGGAACAATGTTTGGATACCATGTACCACATGTTAAGCATCCAGGATTTGTTGGCACCACACTGGGAGCCATCCTGTGTGTTATATAAAAGCATGGGGCCCAGTTCTGGACATCCTATAACCACTTTGATGGAGTCGGGATATTATGTGCCTGACTGGGAAACTGCCAGCAATCATGGGGTTGGTCTGGTCTCGTGGCCTTGAGAGGCATGGGTCACAGGTTTTTCGGGTTAGAGTCCATGACTCTTGAGGCACTGTGTGTCTTTCAGTTCCTGAGAAACTGAGACACTCCCTCAGGCAGTGAAGCATTCAGGCAGCCTGTTTCTCTGCATTCCCTAGAAGTCAGCAAAGCATATAGAAGTTAGACAATTAGTCTTAGACATTAATCTTATGTATGTTTATATGGTATAAATGTTGCAAACAACATTGCATCCTGATCTTGCAACCACCATTGTATTCTTTTCTAAGAGGATGAAAAGTCTGATTGCATGACATGTCCTTGTCACAGCCCAGTCCTTCTGTGATCCCTCCCAGCCTGGTTTCATTCTCATCGGCATATCTTGTAGCATTGGTCTGGTTAGTAGACACTCGCACTTACAGGAAATGGTATGCATATCACATAAAAGAATGGGAGACAGTGTTGGATATCATTGACCCTCGTGGGAAACCATCCAGGATATCATGTATCTGCTTGGCAATCAGTTCTGAGTATCATGAACCCATGTGGACAGCAGTCCTTGGTGTCATGTTGCCATATAAGAAGCAGTACTGGTTATCATGTATCCACATGGGAAGCAGTTCTGCCACTTAGAAATCAGGTCTAGATTTCTGCAACCCCCTGACAAGCAGTACTGGAATGTCATGTGCCCAAGTTGAAGCAGTTCTGGATATCATATGCCCAGTGATAAGCATTGGAAGCAGTCCTCTATATCATATAAGACCTTTGGATGGTCACCATGTTTGGAAAGCAGGCATGGAAATCAGTTTGTAATGTCATGGATGGGAGGCAGAGCTGGATTTCACATGTCCACATGGGAAGCAGGCATGGCTATATTATTTCCAGATGGAAATCAGTCCTGGATGTGATGTTCCTGCACTCCAAGAAGGCAGGATGCCATATAGCAGCTTGGGTAGTTGTCCTGGGTATCATGTACCCATGTAAGAAGTAGGCCTGGATATGTAGTCCCTCCCAGGGAAGCAGCCTTGCATGTGTGGTACAGGCATGGGAGGCAGTCTGGATCTGTTGTACACCCATGAAAAGCAGTCCGTGATATTTTGTGCCTTCATGTGAATCAGTTCTTGATATGTAGTACACACATGGCTAGCAAAACTATATACCATGTTCACACATGGGAAGCAATCCTGGATGTCATATGCTTACATAGCAATAAGTTCTGGATGTCATGTTCCTGCAAGAAAAGTGGTCCTGGATATCATGTTACTATAACCTATGAAGCAAAACTGGATATCGTGTACCTAGATATCCATGAAGAGAATGGATACCTGAAGGAGGCCTGGATGTTATGTGCCTGCACGGGAAATAGTCCTGGACATCATTTAACCCAATAGGAAGCAGTCCTGGTATCATGTTTACCACCACAAGGGAAGCAGTCCCAGATGTTTACCCACATGGGAAGCAGTCCTATATATCATGTATTCACATGGGATAAAGTCCTGGGTGTCATGTACCCATATAGAAAATATTCCTGGGCATCATGAATCCACATGTAAATAACCCTAGATATCATTTAACCACATGGGAAGCAGTCTTGGATTCTATGTTGCTATCACATTGGAAGCAGTCCTGGATAAAAATGTACCTTCAGAGGAAGAAGTCCAGGATGTCATGTAACTGCATTTGAAGTAGCCCTGGATATCATGAAACTGCATGGAAAGAAATCCTGGATATCACACAGATACATGGGAATCAGTCCTGGATATCACATACCTACATAGGAACTGTGTGGAGACACCAGACCTTGAGCAGAGACCCACTTCCCCATCAGCCTAGGAGTAAGACAATGTTTACTACAAACAATACAATGCCCGGGGCAATAAGTTCCTGAAAAGGGCTGGCCCATGGGAACTGTCCTGACCTCGACCTTGTCCAAAGACTAACCGCCTCTTCTGACACACCCAAATCAGTTTCTGGTGTCAGAGGAGAACCAGCCAGGGGTAGAGAGAGAGCAGAAGCTTTTCTGGAGGGAGGCCTTTCTTGGGAAGTTTTCTTAAGCCTTTTTGGGGCCTGCTTAAAGTTTTCATTATATCGTTGAATGAGTCTCTGTGTTATCAATACCCGACACCCTCCGCACATTCTCGGACACAGGCTGTGCAGCGGGTGTGGCAGAACTGTTTTTGGATACCATGTCCCTCATGGGAAGAATTCCTGGATATAATGCACTAGCTAGGGTTGCAGTCTTTGATGTCATGCATGTGATGGGAAGCAGTTCTGCATACCATATACCCATGTAGGAAATTGTCCTGAGTGTGTTATATCTGCATGTTCAGAGGTTACTGCCACTGTGAGGACCAGCCTCCAGCAACACTGGGCTTGATGGGGATCCAACGGAGTTGGCAAGCTAAGACTTTTCTATCTGAGAAAGTAAGGAAAAACACACACACTTTTGACGATTTCCTTCTATCTTTGTTTTTATTCTGTCTCCTTATTTTATTCTATATCTTTCCTGGTATTTTCCTTTCCGTTCTTGATGTTTTCCTTTTAATTTTATTTTTTCCCTTACAGCTTATATGCCCCAGAAAAATCTTCAAGGATGACAATGGGGTTACACTCTATTTTTCAAGTGAATGATTGAAGAAATACAAGTAAAAAATACAAAAAATCCTTACATGATTAAGCATTTTATGTATTACAGGTAAAAAACAAGTTGTCCCAAGAACCCACATACATTCATGTCCAAGAAATTTGTTATAGATTAACAAAGTGTGAGCAAGCAAGGTATTTTTCTCAGCCAGTTCTTTTGCTGGCAGGCTGCATTTTGTAGTTACAAAGAAAGGATCAACCATTTTAATACTTACCTTAAAAAGTAATCTTACAAGGACTCTTAAAAGCATCACAGACCTAAACTTTGTATATGAAAAGGGTGCATACCCATTTGCCAATACTTTACTATATCAGTAAGCTGAGGACAGGAATGGGCACAAGGAATTAATTATCTCCTTTGGTCACCAACTCATCCTAGCAAGGAAGGCATGCCAGCTAGTAATGATTGGGCTGCCTTGTTCTTGTTCCCTGACCTTAGTGAATTCCTCACTCAACTATGTGCTTTTCTAAAACTTTAGAGTATCTTCTTGGATTCTTCACCTCAAACTACTTAACAAAATCATCTCAATGTACACTTAAGCTATTTTTAAAGCTTTGTTTCAGCTACGATGTACTCCTAAACTTGTGAACACATCTCCCAACATAAAAATTAAGCTAGCTTGGCTACTGGGACTCAGTTGTTTTTCTTAATCATTAAACTTCGCCACATCTATGTGACTCCTCAATAGATTCTTGTGTTCTAGCTGTGTGACACATCCTTGTTTTATTTTTTCATTTTTCTTTGTTTTAAAACAGTCTTTTCTCATTTTATACACCAATCCCAGGTCTCTCCTTCCCCTCCTCTTCTTTCCCCACCTTCCCCCATCCCCTTTTTAGAGAGGGTGAGGTTTCTCATGGGCAGTCAGTGAAGTCCGGCACATCTCTTTGAGGCAGGACAAAGGCCCTCCTCCCTATATTTAGGTGATCAAGGTATCCCTACAAAGAGAATGGGCTACAAAAAGCCAGTTCAAGCACTAGGGATAACTCCTTGTCCCACTGTCAGTGACCTCACAAACTGCCCAAGCCAATAGAGTGTCACCCACATTCTAAGGTCCTAGTTTGGTCTAATGCAGGTTCCTTCACTGTCAATCCAGAGTCCCACTAGCTCAGGTCAGCTTATGGGGGTATCCCCAAAATGGTCTTGACTGAGTAGCTCATATTATCACTCCTTCCTCTCTTCAATTGGACTCTGGGAACTGGGAGTGTGGATCTCTGCATCTGCTTCCACCAGTTACTGGATGAAGGTTCTATGATGATAATTCAGGTAGTCATCAATCTGATTACAGGAGAAGGCCAGCATCTTCAACAAATGGTGCTGGCATAACTAGATGTTGACATGCAGATAGATCCATATATATCCCCATGAACAAAGCTCAACTCAAAATGGATCAAGTACCTCAACATAAATCCAGCCACACTGAACATCATAGAAGAGAAAGTGGGAAATAGTCTTGAACATATGGGCATAGGAGACCACTTCCTAAATATAACACCAGTAGCACAGACATTGAGAGCAATAATTAATAAATGGAACCTCCTGAAACTGAGAAGCTTCTGTAAGGCAAAGGACACAATCAATAATACAGACAGAAGCCTACATAATGGGAAAAGATCTTCACTAACCCCACATCTAATAAGGGGCTGACCTCCAAAATATACAAAGAACTCAAGAAACTAGACATCAAAATACCAAATATTCCAGTTTAAAAAAATGATACAGATATTAACAGATAATTCTCAACAGAAGAATATCAAATGGCCGAAAGACATTAGGGAATTGCTCAACATCCTTAGCCACCAGGAAAACGCAAATCAAAACAACTCAGAGATACCATCTTATACTGTCAGAACGGCTAAAATCAACAATACTAATGACAGCTTATAGAGAGGATGAAGAGTAAGAGGAACACGTGTCCATTGATGGTGGGAATGCAAACTTGTACAGCCACTTTGAAATCAGTAGGGTGGTTTCTCAGAAAATTGAGACTCCATCTACCTCAAGACCCAGTAATATCACTCTTGGGCATATGGCCTAAGGATGTACTCTCATACCACAAGGAAATTAACTCAACTGTGTTCATGGCAGCGTTATTTGTAATAGCCAGAACCTGGAAACAACCTAGATGTCCCTCAACTGAAGAATGGATAAAAAAATGTGGTAATATACACAATAGTGTACTACTCAACAGTAAAAACAAAAAACAAAAAACAATGACATCTTGAAATTCACAGGCAAATGGATGGAGCTAGAAGAAACCATCCTGTGTGAGGTAAGTCAGACACAGAAAGAAAAACATGTGTATTCATTCATATATGGATATTAGACATAGAGTAAAGGATAACCAGCCTACAATCCACAACCCCAGAGAAGCCAGGAAGCAAGGAGGACCCTAAGAGAGACATGTATGGACCCCCACTTCCAAGAAGGGGAGATAGACAAGAACTCCTGAGTAAGTTTAGAGTGTGGAGGAGGGGGAGAGTAATAGGAGAGTAGGTAGAGAAGAAAGGGATGAGGGAGGAGAACATGAGGGATCAAAAAGGTAGAGTTGGGGGAAGGACAGAGAATCTCAAATGGCAAGGAGAGCAAGGGAAGAGATTCCTTGATAGGGGCAACCATTATGGGGTTAATGAGAAATCTGGCACTAGGGAAATTCCTAGGAATCCACAAGGATGGCCCCAACTAAAAATCTAAGCAATAGAGAGAGTACCTTACCTGCCCGTCCCCTATAATGAGATTGGTGACTGCCTTAATTTCCATCTTAGAGCCTTCATCTAGTAACCGACGGAAGCAGAAGCAAAGATCTACAACTAAGCACTGGGCCAAACTCCTGGAGTCTAGTTATAGAGAGGGAGGAGAGGAAATATGAGCAAAGGGGTCAAGACCATGTTGGGAAACCCACAGAAAGAGATGACCTGAGCAAGTGGGAGCTCACTGAATCCAGACTGATAGCTTGGGAACCTGCATTAGATCTAACTAGGCCCCTGAATGTGAGTGACAGTTTGGGGGGCTTGGGCAGTTTAAGGGGCTACTGGAGTGGAAGCAGTAATTATCTCTAGTGCACGAACTGACTTTTTGGAGCCCATTCCCTATGAAGGCATAACTCATCAGCCATACATGGTGGAGGGTCTTGGTCTTGCCGCAAATGATGCAACAGATTTTGATGATTCCCCATGGGAAGCTTCACCCTTCCTAAAGAGTAGATGGGGAGTTTGGTGGGGAGAGGTTGGAGGGAGTCGGAGGATGGGAGGGAAAGGGAACTGGGATTGCTATGTAAAATAACATTGCTTTAAAAATAAAAAATACAGTACTTCTTACCCTGTAAAGAGAAAAGCCTTCCCACCAGCCTGGTTCCAGAGCTGCACCAGTCCCAAATAAACACACAGGAGGCTGTATTAATTATGAAGCTGTTGGCCTTGCTTGTTTCTTACTGTCTAGCTCTGACTTAAGTATTTACCCCATAATTTTTAATCTAAGTATTTCTCTTACCGGAGAAAAGTTTCCGGGCTTCTTATCCCTATGGCAGTTACATCTTGACTTCCTGTGTTTCTCCTACTCAGACAAAAAGAAAGGTCTTAACTTTAACATAGTCAAATTATATATAACAGAACAGTTATCAAGTAAGAACACAGCTACAATATTTGGTCTATCAACATTTAGCAAGATTTAAAGAAAATATCATCCATCCCATCCTTGTGGGTCCAAAGTCCTATATGTAGCTTATCTTGTATCATAACTAAGGAAAATTATAATTATAACTATCTGCCTTCAACTCTATCAAAGACCACAGAAGGATAATATGTAAACACTGCCTGGACAGTCACCAGAAGTTCCTCTGTAACGTTGGGGCATCCATCTTCAGCCCACAGGCCACAGTGTGTCCAGAAGGCTTCTCAGCAAAGCAGGAAATTTCAAACTGTCCGTTTGCATTGGCAGTCTGTCAGTCATTTTTCTGTGTCCTGCAGAAAGTCTCGTAGACTCTTCCATGAAGCAGGAACCCTGAAGGACTGTTGAGTTCAGCAGTCACTTTCTTGTGGGTTCTGCATGTCCAGTTTATACAGCAACAGTCAAGTAGCCTAGGCAAGAGTAGTTTCTTGCCCAAATGGCTAATCTTTCCATGTTGAAAGCAAACTCCACAACAAGTTTCTTGTATGCCCATCTTCCTCTCAGACGTAATTGATGATGCCAGAAGCAGACATTTCTCATTGTCAAGAAAAACCCTAAACTATTTTAAATGCCATTTTCTGAAGGTCTTTGAAAGGTTTGAAGACTATCTATTTCAAATATATCTCTGTATATCTAGAAAACCTAACTTACATAACTATAAGGTCTGACTATTATAAGTAACTATCTATAGTCTGTACTTAATTATGCATTATGTATTAAAAGAACAGTATAAGCACAATACTTAATCAAGAGAAATACACGCATCACAAAATTGACTTTGAATTTGTATCAATAAATGAAAAACCATACCAATACAAACTACTCATTTCCATGCCATAGTCCCCTTTTTCCTTTAAAAAGAGATTAGTTGTGATCATTAACTAATTATAAACAACCCCATTTAAATGAAAACAAATATTTATAAACAAGATGGGAATTAGGACGCCGCTCATTCCAAACGGCATCGTGCTGGAAGGGGGTGCTATTCATACCATGGGGATCATGATAAAACTCAGAAACCTGTATAAGTCCGTATTTTCAGAGTCTGTAAGACTGCATCATCTTAGCTGTTTCAATTGTTGGAACACTTGGCCCACTGCTTCCAGGGGTCTTGGTTCATCAAACCACAGAAGCCTGGAAGGAATCCTTAGCTTTTCATTTTCTGTAGAAACATAAACAATAACTCCTTTCCAAAGTAACATATCCTTATACTTAAATTTTGAAGTCAAGGCATTTTCAAAAGATATAAGTTGAATTAATTCAGCCACTGTTGGGAGCTGCAGAGTACCGTGCCTATAGATGGCGCTGGTTTCCACATTCCGCCAGCCTGACGGCGAGTGCTCTCAGTAAGTAAACAACTCCTTATTAGGAGTAAGGCCACGTACCCTTCTAAATCTGCTTGGTGACAACCTATCCTAGCGTGCCACCTGGGTGTAGTTGATTGGCTATCGCTGAGTATATTAAGCTCCAACTTCCTGTGGTCGGGGCCACTCCCTGTAAGTAAGTTTCCCAAATGAACTGTGAGAAGAAGATTCCTCGTTGCCACGTCATTCTTGTTGGTCGAGGGTGGTCGCGACAAAGTGGTGGCCCGTATGGGGGCGTTGGAACTTCTCACAGTCGGGGCGGTACCAGTAAGTTACCGAGGTAAGCGGGAAAATAAGGACCTCGGTAAAGAGGCGATAAGGTCTCCGGTTAGGAGCAATAAGGTCTCCGGTTAGGAGCAATAAGGTCTCAGGTTAGGAGCAATAAGGTCTCTGGTTAGGAGCAAGACAGTTCACAGCTAAGGCGAACTGAAAGTAAAAGGCCTCGCGTCTGCTTTAGCTTGCAGAGTGAGAGAAAAGTAAATGGACCCCGCTTTTGTGGTGATGATTTGGCTAGTGTTTACTATTGTAGTGTGGGCTCTTGTCTTTTGGTGCTGTTATCCAACTTGCACACCTCGGAGCACAACAACTAAAAGAGTAGACTTTAAAAAGGCATAATGGGATCGTCACAATCACATCCAATTTTTCTGGCTCTTCAGGAGCTGCTTCTTTCAAAAAGTTTAAACTTAAGCAAAGCCACATTGCAGAGGTTTTTGAGTGAATGCAATGCCATTGCACCCTGGTTCGCAGTTTCAGGGAACCTCTCTGTGGCTAGCTGGGATAAGCTGGGAAAAGACCTGGAGTTTGCTTGGAAAGAAGGAACGCTGAAACCATGCATTCGGCCAGTATGGCGGCTGATACGCACTTGTCTGGAGGATCAAGAGGGGAACAAAAAGGCTATAGAAAAAGGACAGGTTGCCCTCCAGATGCTCCAGGAAGAAAGATCAGAACAATCAGAAGGTGAGGTTGCGAAGAAGAGACAGAAAGGGAAAAAGAAACAAATCTATCCCTCCTTAAGGGAGCTGAGGAAAGAACTAGAAGAATCGGGGGAAGATTCAGAAACAGAGGAGGACCTCTCGGAGGATAAGGAAGAAGAGATTGTTGAGCTAATGGGAAAACATTCTTTAAGAACGCCGGAGACGCAGCACCCTAAAATGGCGACTGCAAAGCAAGGGCACCGCCCTACCGCTCCTCCACCCTACTGTTCACCAGAGGAACTACAAGTTCCTGGTTGCAATACTTTCTGCCCGGAAGTGTGGCACACTGTTCGTGCCGAGTTTCGGATTACCCGGCCACTGGCTTATCCAGTTTTCCAGGATGGTAACCAACAGAGATATCATGAGCCGCTTGACTTTAAAATAGTCAAAGCCCTGACAGAGTCGATACACACCTATGGCGTGAGAGCGGATTTTACAATTGCCCAGGTGGAAGCACTTAATCGCTTCTGCATGACACCTGGTGATTGGATGAATTTGGTAAGAGCTTGTCTATCGCCAGGACAATATTTAGATTGGAGAGCTTTCCAAATTGAATTTGCCAATGATCAAGGTGCGGCTAACCGCGCGGCTGGTAACCCTGCCTGGGATGTAGACATGTTACTTGGTCAGGGTCATTTTGCGCAACAACAAACAGGATATCCCCCTCAAGTGTATGATCAGGTTAACCAAATAGCCATTAGGGCTTGGAGGTCTCTGCCCAATAGAGGTGAAGTCAGTGGAAACCTTACAAAGATATTACAAGGCCCTATGGAACCCTTCTCAGATTTTGTGGCTAGGATGGTAGAAGCTGCAGGAAGAGTGTTTGGGGATCCAGATACTGCTATGCCATTGATTAAGCAGTTGGTTTATGAACAGTGCACAAAGGAGTGTAAGGTTGCTATAACCCCATATAAAGGTAAAGGCCTTGAAGTCTGTACAGAGTTAGGAGGTCCACTGACCAATGCAAGCCTAGCAGCTGCGGTGATGCAGCTAACTAAGAAAGGAGGAAATGCAGGGGCCTGTTTCAACTGTGGCAAACAAGGACGCCTCAAAAGGCAATGCCCTGAAAGAGGAAGTAGTAACAGAGGCAGTGGCTCCACCCAGCGGCCTAAGCCGGGGCTGTGCCCTAGGTGCAAGAAAGGAAATCATTGGGCTAGTGCCTGTAGATCAGTGAAAGACATTAACGGACAGCTTTTTGCTCAGGGATATGGAGGAGCTCGTCCAAAAAATGGACAGCGAGGCTCACGACCCCAGGGCCCGCAAATATATGGGGCCATGGAGAATCAAGCCCAAGAACAGAACCCCGAAACATGGCCCTCTCTTCAACATCCGAGGGATTGAGGAGAGCCACTTCAGGCTCCACAGGGCTGGACTTATGCTCCACCAGACTCGTATTAACACCCATTATGGGGGTCCAACTTGTAGACACTGACTTTAAAGGACCCCTTGAGCCTGGTTCAGTAGGCCTGCTTCTAGGAAGATCATCTGCAACCGTAAAAGGGCTATGAGTACATCCAGAAGTGATAGATCCTGATTACACAGGTGTGGTAAAGATTATGGTAGAATCCCTAAAGGGATTACAGCCATTTCTCCTGGAGACAGGATAGCACAGCTGCTGCTTCTGCCAAGCCTACATGATAAATTTCCAGCGCAAACCAGGGAGAGGGGAGAAGGAGGTTTTGGTCCCAGGGGATCAAAATTGACCTTCCTTGCCCTAGATCTCGACCAGCGCCCAACTTTAGAATTACTATTAGATGGTAAGAGAATTCTAGGTTTATTAGATCCTGGAGCTGACAAGAGCATCATAGCCACCAAACATTGGCCTCCTGGCTGGCCTATACAACTCTCTTCCCAAACTTTACAAGGGTTAGGCTATGCTAAGGCCCCTGACATCAGTGCCCGACAGTTGTCTTGGAGAGATCAGGAGGGGCACTCTGGGACATTTCAGGCTTATGTATTAGAGTTACCAATTTCACTGTGGGGTAGAGACTTACTAAAAAACATGGGTTTGAAGCTCACCAATGAATATTCTGAGACATCTCAAAACATCATGAAAGGAATGGGATACGTCCCAGGTCGGGTCTCAGAAAACATCTACAGGGTCACACTAGTCCCATTATTCCACAGCAAAGACCAAAGAACCTAGGTTTGGGTTTTTCCTAGGGGTCGCTGGGGGAGGTATTTCCATTACCTGGAAAACGGAGGAGCCAGTATGGGTTCCCCAGTGACCACTCTCTTCTGAAAAGCTGGAGGCTGCCAGAACTCTAGTGCAAGAACAGCTTAATTTGGGGCATATAAAGTTCTCTGTGTCTCCATGGAATACTCCCATCTTTGTAATTAAGAAAAGTTCTGGCAAGTGGAGATTGCTTCAGGATCTTAGAGCTATTAATCAGCAGATGCAAATTATGGGCCCAGTACAACATGGCCTTCCACTTTTAACCTCTTTGCCCGCAGCCTGGCCTATTATTTCTATAGATATTAAGGATTGTTTCTTTTCTATACCTTTATGTGCCAAAGATTCAAAGCGCTTTGCATTTACATTGCCTTCATGTAATCATGAGCAGCCCGATTTGAGATACGAATGGGTAATGCTGCCACAGGGAATGGCCAATAGTCCAACTATGTGTCAATTGTTTGTTGCAGAGGCTATCGCCCCTTTAAGGGAGGAGTTTCCAAAGATTAGATGTATCCATTATATGGATGACATTCTATTGGCTGCTAAGGATGAAGAAATGCTCAACAAGGCATACTTAGAATTGGTGAAATTACTTGAGATATGTAACTTAGTCATAGCTTCAGAAAAGGTACAAAGAAACACTGTTATTAATTATCTAGGGGCTAAGATTTTCCCTCATACAGTTATTCCACAGAAGATGGAGATTAGAAAAGATAATTTGAGAACCCTTAATGATTTTCGAAAGTTGCTAGGAGATATAAATTGGATCAGGTGTTATTTGAAATTACCTAATTATGAGTTAAAACCATCGTATAACATCCTCAATGGTGACTCAGCTTTAGATTCACCTAGGCAGTTAACCACTGAAGCCTGAGAAGCACTAAAGAAAGTAGAGACAGAATTACAAAATGCCAGCCTTAAACGCCAGCGAGAAAACATGGATATTCTTTTGTGTGTGCTTCCAACATTGTCTCACCTACTGCCTTGCTATGGCAAGATGGCCCATTGCTATGGATTCATTCCCGATCCTCCCCGGGAAAAACTGCTGAGCATTTTCCAACAGGGATTGCAGAATCAGCACAAAAGGGAATACAACAGTGTCTCCAGTACTTTGGGAGGATACCGAGTAAGATCATAATCCCAGATACAGCTCAACAAGTCAGGGTCATTTGTGGGACAGTAGATGAATGGGCCATTATATGCTGTGGATATTCAGGAGAATAGATAATCATTATCCAAAGCACCCTTTAAGGTCATTTTTTTAAGGAACTCCCGGTCATTTTTCCTAAGATGACTGCGACTACTCCTATTCCTGGAACCGTAAACATTTTCACTGATGGGTCGAAGACAGGCTGCGGGGCTTATATGATAGAACATCAGGATCCAATACAAGTTCAGTATCCACCTGGTTCCCCCCAGATTATTGAGTATAAAATTGTTCTTGAAGTATTTAGAAATTGCCCGTTTTCCTTTAATCTGATTTCTGATTCGGCATATGTTGTGAATGCTGTTAGAGCCCTGGAGGTTGCAGGACCTATTAAACCAAACAGTACAGTTTGCAAGCTCCTACAGTAATTGCAGAGGTTGATTTGGCATCGCGATCAGAAATTTTTTATACAGCATATTAGGGCTCATACTAACTTGCTAGGACCTTTATCAAATGGCAATGAAGCTGTAGATTTGTGCACTAGAAGAGAGTATGCCTTTTTCGCTTCCCCCCGTGGAGCCAGCGCAGCAATTTTGAAGATTTGGCAGATGGATGTCACTCATTTTTCTGGGTTTGGGAATCTTAAATACATTCACGTGTCCATGGACACATGTTCAGGCATTATTCACGCTATGCCTATGAGTGGAGAAAAGGCTCGCAATTGTCATTAGGCATTGCCTTGAAGCGTGGGCTGCCTGGGGTAAACCTCAGCAATTGAAAACAATCTCTTGCCTGCTCAGAACAAAAAGAGATTTTGGGATAACGGCGGCCCTAGCCACGGCAATAGCTGTGTCTGCCGCAGCGGCGACGACAGCTGCCGTTGCCATGGTTGCGATAATTCAGACTGCTGAGACAGTTAATGAAATTGTGGAGAAGACGGCCTCCACATTGGCCACTTTGAAATCTATTGATTTCATTTGAAAGCTGGCATCTTGACAGTAAATCAAAGAGTGGACCTTCTGCAAGAACAGGTGGATGACTTGGTAATATTGACCAACTTAGGATGTATTCATTCCCTCTCTTCTTTGTGTATTACCTCCAGGGTGGCTGAGAACTACACAAAAAAATAGTAACCTGAGCTGGCAATTGAGTGAATACCTCCCGGGGAATGGAGTAAGGAGTTTGAGAACCTGACAGATACCCTGATCATTTCCCTGAATGCTACGTGCCTGGATATGTCCACTGTCAATGCTGTTTTAAATATGCTTAAACAAGCTTTTAGTTATATTAAGGAATGGGCTGGCGTGGGTGTTATGCTTTCCATGATGTTGTTAGCCATTTTTGTCTGCCTGTGGTGTCTATGCAGGATTAGGAAGTCACAAAAATCCCAAGCTGCCATGTTGGTACAGGCCTTTGCTGCGCTGGACGCAGGACAATCACCTCAAGCATGGCTATCCATGCTGACAGACAAATAGGCATCTGTCTCGCCTTTGCTGAGTGAGTGATACGTATCCGACTCAGTCATGCTCAATGACGGGCACCTACCCTTCTTGCAAAACGAAAGTGTTCCCTTCAACCTAAGACATGAGCCTGTGAGGGTGACACAGAGACTCTGTGACGGGTAAGATAGGGACACTGGGGTTGAACCTAAGACAGAGATGACTGAAATCTAATAACAGATAGATACGGCTACTCCTCTTATATAAAAACAAAAAAGGGGGAACTGTTGGGAGCTGCAGAGTACCGCGCCTATAGATGGCGCCGGTTTCCACATTCCGCCAGCCCGACGGCGAGTGCTCTCAGTAAGTAAACAACTCCTTATTAGGAGTAAGGCCACGTACCCTTCTAGATCTGCTTGGTGACAACCTATCCTAGCTTGCCACCTGGGTGTAGTTGATTGGCTATTGCTGAGTATATTAAGCTCCGACTTCCTGTGGTCGGGGCCACTCCCTGTAAGCAAGTTTCCCGAATAAACTGTGAGAAGATTCCTCGTTGCTGCGTCATTCTTGTTGGTCGAGGGTGGTCGCAACAAGCCGCATTTATAATCAAGTGTACTTTAGCAGTTGTTCCTTCCTTAGCAATCAAAAAAATGAAAAACACAATAGCATACAGTATCCAGACTTTCTGTGTATTTTCCATCTTTACGTGGCTTATTTATTTATTTATTATTACTTTATTTCTTTTACTTTTATTTATTTTTCTCTGAGACAGGGTTTCTCTTTGGAAATCCGCCTGCCTCTGCCTCTGGAGTAAATCCTACCGGCTTGTGCCACCACAACCGGCTTCTCTATTTACCACTATGCCGTTTTTTTTCTCTCTCAATCCTATGTATATTTTTAAACATACTATACACCTTTAGAGGTTTTTCTTCATCCAAGTCTGACTTTACTGTAAATCTTTATGTTTTTCTGGCCACGTGTCTAATCTGTTAAAACTGAGGCTGTTTAAACTGCCGTTTTTCCAAGATGGCTGGCATAAGCTTGACTCCAGCTGCCAACTTGGAGATGTGGTCACTGCCACTTTCAGCTGTATGTACACACCTTTCAATCCTTAGCAGAGCCTCTTAAAAGAACCTTGGTGGGGTTTTTGTTTGTTTGTTTGTTTGTTTGTTTTTGCTTATGCTGAGCCAGGAAGACTCCCTTGAGCGAATCGCATGAGTCTCTGCTTGTCGCTAGCAAAACAGAGCCCACCTGAGAAAATGCGGCTACCAAAAACCCATACTTTTCTCCGTTCTTTTGTTTCTAAAATTCCTTTAAAGCTTTCGTCATTCTGCGTGCAAATTCATGATTCCACTACTGATCACCAGTATGTAAAGAGAAGCCTTCCCGCCAGCCTGGTTCCAGAGCCGCATCAGTCCCAAAAAAACACACAGGAGGCTGTATTAATTATGAAGCTGTTGGCCTTGCTTGTTTCTTACTGGCTAGCTCTGACTTAAGTATTTACCCCATAATTGTTAATCTAAGTATTTCTCTTACTAGAGCAAAGTTTCCAGGCTTCTTATTCCTATGGCAATTACATCTTGACTTCCTGTGTTTCTCCTACCCAGATTCCTCCTGGACTCCTAGTCCCACCTATCTTGCTTCCCTATTGGCCAACAGTGCTTTATTGACAAATACACAGGATTTCCCGACATTACCCTGCTTGTACATGATATCCAATACTGCTACTTATGCAGGCACATGATAATAAGAAAGTATTAATATGTGATTACATAATATTCATGACTTCTTCCATGCAGGAACACAATATCCAGGACTTCTCAAGTGGGTACCTCCTAAAGGGGACTGATAACCCTGACTGTTCATGATATCCAGTAAGTTTTCTCACGTGAGTAGCAATGTCATGGACTGCTCCCCAAAAGCTACACAGAATCCAGAACTTCTTCCCATGTAAGTACATTATACAAAAAATGTCTATGCGTGCTCATACAAGTTATTCAGTACTTAGTCCCATGAAGGCACAGGACATCTAGGACTTTGTCCCGTCCAGATACATGATATCATGCACTGTTCCTGGCTAGGTACTGCTGGAGTCCTGCTCCAGCAGGCTTCTGAGTGGCAGGAAAAAGGTATGAAGTCAGTGAAGAATGAAGTCTGACCAGCAGTTGTCTTTCTAATAGATGGCCCCAAATAGTTTGAGCTGCCTTTATTTATACAGGGTTCTGATGCATTCAAGCATGAGAAGTGTCCATTCACTTCTCTTTAACCATTTTCTAAGAATCATTAACATTTACCAATTTTAGTTTAATTTCCTCTGCTCCACTCCCTTCATTATCATTAATTTTACATTGCAAGACAAATGATTATACCTAGTCAGGCACATCTTACTCATACTGTGTCCTAGCCAGCAGTAAACATGAAGCTACAAAATAAAAGAAATTCAAGCTCTATGATTAGTCCTATATTTTTGCAATCAGTTGAATGTATGCTGCCATACCTAGGATATTATTTTCAGGGGTAAGTCAATTTATGAATATTTGTATATTGCTTTTATGTGGATGACAGTTGCCATCCTATTCTTTAAACATTCTGAAAATGGTAATGATGACCTAACTCTTTAACTGTTGGAACCAAGTTCTTATCCTTTCTGACAGTTTCTACATGTACTTTTACAGAGAGTTTTAGATTCCTTTATTGATATTTTGGCACTGAAAAAATATCTAACTATGCATGTCCTGGCACCAGGGAGACGTCTGACCTTTCATGCCCTTTATCTTTTCCTTATATGTTCCTATAAGTTTTTAATGTCATCTTTTAGGAAACTGTCTCCCAAGCTCTTACATTCTTTGGAATACACTTATCTTTTAAAAAAAAAGAATAGTTAAATAAGCAAGGATCATTAACCTTAGTAAGTTCCTCCTGCTTTCTCAGGATCACTGCATGTGGGTACATTATATTAAGACATTCATGCATGTGTCCATTATTTTTCAGGACTGCTTGCCAGGCAGGTACATGACATTCATGACTTTTTCTGTGTGGATACAACATTTACAGGACTTTCCCCTTGCGTGCACATGATATCCTCCAAGACTGCTCCACATGAGGTTACATAATATGCAGGGCTGCTTGTGACATCCAGGGTGTGATACCATGCTGATACATGATATCCAGGACTCCAAGTCCTGCTGGTATATGCTATCCAGGATGGCTTCCCATGTGGACACATGATATACAGGACTTCCCATGTGCATGCAAGATATCAAGGACTGATTCCCATGCAGCAGCATGATATCCAGAGCTGTTACTTACATGGATCTGTGAAATCCAGTACTTTGCATCATGTGAATACATGATATCCAGGATTTATTTCAATGCTTGAACAGGATATCAAGGGCTTCTTCCCTAGTGGGCACATATATTAATCAGGACTGTGTGCAATGCCAGTGCATGCTGTCCAGAAGTACTTACTTAGGTCCACTTCTAATCACTATGCATGACTTCCCAGATTTGTCCCATGTAGGTACATGATATTCAGGACTCCTACCCATGAGGGTAAATACACCCAGTACTTCTTCCCATACAATTGCATGATATCAAGAACATCCCACAATCTGGATAGCATGTCTAGAACTGCTTCACATATGGGTGCATGGCATGCAGGATTTCTTTCAACCCAGGACTCTTCACAGGTGGGTATATGATATACACAATTTCTTACCATGTACGTACAACATTTCCAGGACTGCTTCCTATGCAGGTTCATGGTACCAGGGAGTAAATCCCATATGGTAGCATGATATCCAGGACGTCTTACCATGACATATAGCATATTGGACTTCTTACCATGTGGGTAAATGGTACTCAGGATTCCTACCCAAGCGGGTCTATGATATCCAGGACTGCTTGTCATGTGGGGACATGATATACAGGACTTCTTACCATGCAGACATACGCTATCAAGGGCTGCTTCCCAAGGGGTTGTATTGTATATAGAACTGCTTCCCAGGCAGGGACATGACTTCCAGAAATGCTTCACATATGTATATGTGGTATCCCAGACTTCTCCCCATTCAGGTAAATGTGAAGAACTCACGTCTATGCAGAATAGCATATGCAGGGCTGCTTTCCATGTAGGTACATGATATCATGAAAAGTTTCCAATGTCAGTACATAGCATGCAGAACTTCCCACCATGTGGCTACATGACATCCGTAACTGTTTCCTGTGGGTCTTCATGACATCTGAGAGTGCTTCCCAAGTGGGTACATGATGTACAGATTTCTTCTGCTGCTAGAAAAAAAAAGATGAAAAGGACCCCATCCATTCAGGTGCCACACAGACAGGCCTTTGTCCCTGCTGGTGTACATTATTCAGGACTTATTCTTATGCAGGTACATGATATCCAGTGCTTCTTTCCATGTGGATACATAACATGAATTACTCCTTCCCATGAGGGACAATGATGTCCAGGACTTCTTCACACATGTGTTCAGTATTTGCAGGGCTGCTTCCCAGGCGGTGACATAACATTCAGTACTGATTACAGTGGTGGTACATGACACCCAGTGATTCATCTCATGTGGGTTCCACAAATCTAGAAATGATTTGCATACAGGTATATAATCTCCGGCATTTCTTCTGAAACTCCTGCCAACATATCCCTGACTTCTCCTCGGACCCACTGCGTCCCCCTCTTGGTGGCAGAGCTTGGGTGATGAACCTTCCTCACCGAGGCCTCCTGCCTCAACCACTCGAAGCCCAGCGGATGATCTCAGCTTTCCACCCTGTCTCCTGGCCACAACTAGCAAAGGGAATCCCCTGAAAACTCCAAATCACATCCACATTACTTGTTCATCCTAACCCTCAAAAGTGGCCCTTATACTCCCCCACAAACACACAAAAGACCATCTTTACAGTTGGCGGCATACTCCTCTCCTCTGCAATACTTCCCACATCTCCATCCATCTCCTCCCTCTCCCAGACATCCCACGCCTCCACCTGCTCTGCTTGCTTCTCCAAGGCTTCAAATTCCCCCCTGAACTTTCTGTTCTTCTATTGGACACCCAAACCTCTGGTGTAGCTCCAAAGAGACAGTGACTGATAGACAGCTCAGCAATCCTGCCACCCCTCTGGTGTCCACCAGGAGCCACCACCGCCACTGCCACCACCACAAATGCATTCACTGCCCCATCCGTTCAGTCCATTGCCAGAGCTCTGGTAACTCTCCAAAGCCAGCCTCCTCCTCCCACCATGGCTACAACCACAGTCAGCTGCTGCCTCAGCCCAGCCACAGCTCTTAGTGGCAGGGACTCACATGCCAGCCTGGCCTCTGCTTCCGTTTGTACACTCTCAAAACCCCCAGACCTCTCGTATTTTCTCCCCACGTCTTTATCAGCCCCACTGTATGGGATGCCACCTCTGCCTCCCTTGCTGCACAACAAAAGCCCCTCTGTATTAGACTCTAAGATTCTTCCTACATCTCCAAACCCCAAAATCCCTCCCTTAACCAGACCAGAAGTCTCAAACCCTTCCCCTATAATGAGATTGATGACTTCGTTAAGTGTCATCCCACAGCCTTCATCCAGTAGCTGATGGAAGCAGAAGCAGGGATTCACAGCCAAGCACTGAGCCAAACTCCTGGAATCCAGTTGTAGAGAGGGAGGAGTGATGAGTAAAGGTGTCAAGACCAGGCTGGGGAAACCCACAGAAACAGCTGACCTGAACAAGGGGGAGCTCATGGACCCCAATCTGACAGCTGGGGAACCAGCATAGGACCAAACCAAATCCCCTGAACGTGGGTGTCAATTAGGAAGACGGGTTATGGGGCCTCTGGCAGTGGAACCAGTATTTATTTCTAGTGCAAAATGAACTTTGGGAGCCCAATCCCCGCAGAGGGATACTCTCAGCCTAGATACGTGGGGGAGGGCCTAGGTCCTGCCTCAAATGATGTGACAGACTTTGAGGATCCCCCATTGGGGTTTTCACTCTACCTAGGGAGGGATGAGGATGGCATGGGGGGAGGGGGTTGGTGCGGGTATAGGAGAATGGGAGGGAGAGGGAACTGGGATTGATATGTAAAATAAGATTGTTTCCTATTTAAATAAAAATTTATTTTAAAAACCCTCAACTCTCCTCTCCCCAAGTCAGCTATCTTAGATTCTAACTCCAACCCATTAACACCCCACAGTAGACTACCTTTTCCATCTCTACTCCTTATCTCCACCCTCATAACCTAGTCCTACCCCTCTCTCAACGCCTAATTTACAGAACCTCCATCCCTTCTGCCATCTCAGAATCTATCCCTGCAAACTTCTCTCATCAGAGTTCATCGCTTGCACTTACTACCTGTGAGACAACAATCACACCAACATGCCAGCCTGTCAAGCTGCCCTTTCATCCCTTATGGCTTTCCTCACTTCCCCATAATCCAGATAACAACATACCCAACCCTCTTTCAACACAGGACAGTATTCACTATTTAATCAAATATTTCACTCTAATACTAAATCCCTTCTATCATTTCTCAGGACCTACCCAACTCTCACCCCAGCAGATAAGACATACAGAGCCTAACCCAAACATACAATGTGTGTCAGAAAACTAAACCCCTCCACTCTGCAACACCCTGCCTTTCCCACTCACCAAGTTATATAGGTCTGAAGTCATGACAGTCTAAGAAAATACAGGTTATGAAGGCCTGAGCATGTGGAGTCTTAAGTAAGCTGTTACAGTTTGTACGTGCTGGTTATGAAAATGTTAGAAGGTCTGAGCATGTGGAGTCTTAAGTAAGCTGTTACAGTTTGTACATGCTGGTTATGAAAATGTTAGAAGGTCTGAGCATGTGGAGTCTTAAGTAAGCTGTTACAGTTTGTACGTGCTGGTTATGAAAATGTTAGAAGGTCTGAAGATATGAAAGCTTAAGTATGCTGTTAGGGTCTGAGAAAGTAACTTAAGGTATATAAAAAGTTGTTTCAGATTTCTTTCCTTCTCTCTGTGCTATTGCTTGTGTCTCCAAACTTTTACTATGACTCAGAAACATAAATCTTCTCTTTCTACAACGTGTTCCAATACAGATAACAATCAATGGTAATGCTAACATACCTAAAACTTTTATCTCTTTTATAAATTAAATTTTTCTTATAAGCTTCAGGAAATAAACTTGAATCCACCTGCCATAAGTCAAGTGGACTCCAGATAGATAATCCTGTCAACTAACAGCTGAAACCTGACCTGTCTATTCCTGAGAGTGAGGCTCTCCCCTTTCCCTGGTTTTCAGACTCCCCTTCTCCAACTACCAGGATCATAAACCTAAGCATTTCAAATGAACACCCAAGATACAAATTTTCCATAAACTCCTTAACTTTACGTCTGCCCCTCGTCTGTCTGTCCCTACAGATTTCAAGTCAACTGCATCAGCTCTGGTACCAGCCCAAGCTTTCCCTTGGAGTCTACACCCTGGTCCAGTCTCACAGATTGCTCTTAGATGGTCCCACAGAACCGAGACACTGAAAGACACAGCCTGCTTTTCCTGGCCTCGACCAGTATTCCAGCTTCCTTGGGTCCACAACAATGATTCCCCGATGGCATGGCAACAGGGAGCAGCCCGAGAGAATGAGGTCCACCTAATGCAACCCCAACAACGCAATAACAAAACAAAAGGGTGTGAATGATGGTCCTCTAGCAGGCCCAACAAGGTCTATTTCCTGACTTGACCACTGATTCATTACTGAGACAATACCCCAAGGTCCAACAATCAAAACTTTTTATTTGGCTAATATGTCCAATCAGCATTCACCAGCTCACCTTATCACAGACTCCCCCTTTTTACCCTTAGAAACCCAGTCCTGTGGAAACACCATTGTTTCCTTGCTTGCCCTCCTGCTTTTCTTGTTTGTGCTTGCTGCCGCAGCCTCTGCAGCCCCCCACCATGCCCCTCTTGGGTAATAAATCTCCTTTGTGATGAGAGTTTGGTGTCTGGGTAAGTCCTGAATTGACTCTGAAGGGGCCGACTTCACTTATACGTCTTACTATGAGGAACTGTATGTAGAAGACTATGTCTCATGAGGGTCATGGTTTTCATTACCATTCCCCATGTAGGTACATGATATGGTTTTCTGCATCCCATTCACATACATTAAATACAGGCCTGTTTCCCTTGGGGGTATGCTGTATCCAGAACTCCTTCCCACACTCCCATAAGAGAAAAATATAGTATCCCTTCCTATTCTGGTATAAAATAAACAGGACTTTTGCCTGCTGTGGAATAATCTTTTTGTACACCATGAAGATGTGTCTTTGCCACGGTACCTTCTGATTAGTTTAGCAAAGAGTTGAATGGCAATAACTATGCAGAAGAGGGCAGTCAGGACTTCTTGGAAGAGAGAAAGGAAAAAGAATTGAACTGAAGCATGGGAAAGATGACAGAGGACCCAGAGAGGAAACAGGAGGTGTAAGATGGAAAAGTGGTTTTAAAAAGGCCATGAGGCAAAACATAGATTAACATAAATGGGCTAATTTAAGCTATAAGAGCTGGTGGGACAAGTTGAAACTATAGGCTGAGCTTTTGTAATTAATAATAAGTCTCTATGTCACTTTGAGGAGCTGGTGACACAAAGACAGCTCTGCCTATGAATAGCACCCAACGTGGGGCTCAAATATCCAAATGTAGGGCCTGAGAAAGCTAGAAATGGTTCTGGGCAAGGAACTGAATGTAGCTTCCTAGCCCTGTAGTCTCTCTGGTGCACTGGCACTCAGCAACACACAGAGGTATGGCTACTGCCTGTGGGCTGGAGCCGGCAGCCAGTGCTGTGTGCTGAGCTGAGCAATGTGGCACCTAACGTGGCAACTTAAGATTTGTCTCATGAAGTCTGAGAACACTGAAAATGCTCTGTAAAGCCAGGTGCAAATACAGAAAACTTCTAAAAAGGTACAGGATGCTTTAAAATGTGCTTAGATGCTGAAGGAAGAAAAGAAAATGGGTATAGACAGTTACAGAAAATAAAAAGTTTAAAAATAATGAAGTAATTTAAAAGAGAGTAAAGTAATAAAAGAAAGTAATCAATGTAAGAATGGAAAATATTATAACACAGGGAGTCTGGATCTTATATGTTGCTTTGTTAATTTTGAATTTTTTGAATGCTAATGAACAGAGAAAAACAGCTGCTGAGAGACACTGGATTATGGAAGGGACTGACAAATTAAATCAACCTATATACTTTAGGTCTTGGTTTCAAAATGGAAGTCAGAAAATGTATTGCTTTGGGGAAGAGGTTATGCTTTGATTTCCACAGAAAACAAAAGGCTGGTTTCACTCAAGGGTGATAGACATCAGGTTTGATTGGGGAGGACCCCTGAAAATCTTGGCTTCATACACAAAGAAATAAACTTAGAAAAGCTACAAACAAGGTGACACATATTTTACCTGCTCAAAGATAAGACAAAAATCATCTTTGGCTAACATGTGTACAATGCACTGTTCATTCTTATGTTAATGAAGATATGTATTTTACCTTTGAAAGTTTGCATGTTTTCAGATCAGGGGGAACAGATACCAATGAAAAGGGTAACCCAGATGATTCAGCCTCACAGAGAACCACTGTTGCAGTTTCCTCAAAAATATATATCTAAAACAACTTCAAAACTCAAAGCTGAGAGCTGAGATGGTCCATCCTTACAGAATATCCAGCCAGGACTTCAGCTAAGCTCTAGACTTTCCCATCACACAGAGACTAAATAAAAAATAATACAGCTTCATCCCAGAGATGTGGGGATGGTTCAACATACAAAAATCTATCGATGTAATCCACTATATAAACAAAATGAAAAAAAATATGGTCATCTCATTGGATGCTGAAAAAGACTTGGACAAAATTCAACACCCCTTCATGATAAAGGTCTTGGAGAGACCTAGACATAATAAAGGCAGTATACAGCAAGCCAACAGCCAACATAAACTAAATGGAAAGAAACTCAATGCTGTTTCCCTAAAAGCAGGAGCAAGAAAAGGCTGTCCATTCTCTCCATATCTATTCAATATTGTACTTGAAGTTCTAGCTAGAGCAATAAGACAGCAAAAGGAGATCAAGGGCATACAAATTGGAAAGGAAGAAGTCAAACTTTCACTGTTTGCAGATGATATGATATTTTACATAAGTGACCCAAAAAATTCTACTGGTGAACTCCTACAACTGATAAACACCTTCAGTAAAGTGGCAGGATACAAGATTAACTCAAGAAAATCAGTAGTTCTACTATAAACAGATGACAAATAGGCTGAGAAAGAAATCAGAGAAATATCACCCTTTATAAGAGCTACAAATAACATAATTATACCGTGGGGGTAATGCTAACCAAACAAGCGGAAGATCTGTATGACAAGAACTTTGAGTCTTTAAAGAAAGAAATTAAAGAAGATATCAGAAAATGGAAAGAACTCCCATGCTCTTGGATAGGTAGGATCAACATAGTAAAAATGGCAATGTTACCAAAAAGAATATGGAAAAAACAACTTTATATGGAAAAAACAAAAAATCTAGGATAGCTAACAGTCCTGTACAATAAGGGGACTTCTGGAGGTATCACCATCCCTGATTTCAAGCTCCATAACAGAGCTATAGTAATTTTAAAAAAGCTGGGTATTGGCTTAAAAATAGACATATGGATCTATAAAACTAAATCAAAGACGCTGACACAAACCCACACACCTATGAACACCTGATTTTTTACAAAGAAGCCAAAAATATACAATGGAAAATAAGAAAGCATCTTCAAGAAATGCTGGCATCACTGAATGTTGACATGTAGAAGAATTCAGATAGATCCATATTGCCCTGCACAAAACTCAAGTCTGAGTGGATCAAAGACCTCAACATAAATCCAATTATACTGAAGCTGATAGAATAGAAGGTGGGAAGTAGACTTGAATGAATTGGTACAGGAGACTGCTTTCTGAATATAACACCAGTAGCATAGACACTTGAATGCATTGGCACAGGAGACTGCTTCCTGAATATAACACCAGTAGCATAGACACTGATATTGACAATTAATAAATGGGACCTCTTGAACTCTTAACTTTAACCTCAAGCAAACCTTTTGGAAAAGGACAAAAGCAGCTACATCTTTCACTAAAATATCATAAGAGCAATTTCTAGGCAACATACTAAAATTCTTCTTTTCTGAAACCTCTTAAGTGAGCTCCCCTACCCCCTCCCAGTTTATTATCACGACAGGAAGCAAGGCAGCATGCAGGCAGACATGGCGTAGAGAAGGATCTGAGAGCTCTACATCTTGACTTACAGGCAACAGCAAGTGATGTGACTCACTGGGCATGGCCTAGGCACGTATGCAACCTCAAAGCCTAACTCCACAGTGACACACCTACTCCAAGAAGGCCACACCTCTTAATGGTGTCACTTCTTTTGGAGGCCATTTTCTTCCAAACCACTACAAGGGCTTTGTACCATACAAGTAGCACAGACTCAGCACTGTTCCTAATACTGGTACTTGGTGTCCTAAATTGCTTTCCATACAGATACATGATATCCAGGATCATTCCTCATGAAACACAGGACTGTTTCACATAAGGGTCCATGATATCAAAAGCTGCATTCCAAGCAAGTACATAATGTTTAGGACTTCTTCCCATGAGGATACCAATATCCAGGACTACTTCCCTTTAAAAAGGTACATGATATCCAGGATTACTTCCTATGCAGGTGCATTTTACTGAATAGTCATAACCGTGAGGTTACATGCTATCCAAGAATTCTCCATGGAATGCAAGACTTCTTCCCATGAAGGTAAATGATGTCCAGGACTGCTTCCCTGGTGGAACCATGATATCCAGGACTTCTCATGAAATATAGGACTGCTTCACATGCAAGCGTATGATATCCAGGACTTCTTCCTATGTGGGTACATAACCTAGGACTTTGTACCATACATGTAAAACATATCAAGGACTGGTTTTCATGTGGGTATGCGATATTCAAAACTGTTTAGCATGCTGGCACATGATATGGAGGACTTTCCCCATGCTGGTACAAGGTATCCAAGATGTCATGCTATATAGGTACCTAATATCCAGACCTGCTTCAGATGCCGGTGCTTGCTGTTCTAAAATGCTAGTCATGTGGGCACATGATATCCAGGATTGTTTCCCAGGTGATTAAATCCAGGACTCATTTCTATGAGGGTGTAAGATATCCAGGATTTTATCCCATGTGAGCACACCATACACAGGACTGCTTCCCATCCCGGTACATGATATCCTTAATTGCTTTCCTTAGTGCTACATGAGATGCAAGACTTACTCTCATGCAGGTGCAAGATATCAGTACATCTTCCCTTGCAGGTACCAATACACAGGGCTTTGTCCCAGTGGGTACTACACAGACAAGACTATTTCTACTGCTGGTTCACAGGATGCAGGAGCCAATATCCAAGACTCTTTCACATATAGGTACATGATACCCAGGACTTCTTTAAATGTGAGTATATAAAATACAGATTGTCTTCCCATGTGGATATATAATATCCAGGACATCACCATTGTGGGTACAATATTTTCAGAACTATTTCCCTTGTGGTTACATGATTTTGGACTGATTATCATGTAGGTACATGATATACAGGATTTCATCCCATAAGAACACATGATACCCAGGACACCTAACTATGTGGGTATGATATATAGGACTGTTTCCAATGAGGGTTAATGATAGCCAGAACTGCTTTACATGTGGCTACATGTTATATAGGACTTCTTCCTACGTAGGTACATGATATCCAAGACTTCTTCCCATATGAGCACATGGTATCCAGAACTGCTTATGATGTAGGTGTATGACACCCAAGACCCTTTCCCAAGTGGGTACATGACCTCCAGGACTGCCTCCAAGAGTTTTCCCACCTGTGTATTTCCAGGACTTCTTCCAATGCCAACAATTGTCTCTAGGAGTTCACATCATGCAGGTACATGATATTCAGGACTTCTATAAATATGGATAAAAAATATCCAGGACTCTGTCCCATCTGTGTACATGCTATCCACAACTGCTTCCCATGTAGGCGCATTATGTGTAGGAACTCTTTCCACGTGGGTATACAATATCCAGGACATCTTGTCATTCTGGATTAAGGTATATTAGACTTTGTCCTGTATGGGCAGCACAAAGACAGGACTGCTTCATGTGCAGGTCCATGCTAT